TAAAAGCCGAACCCATTTACTAAGATTCCGCTGTCTGTCTGTATGTCTGTCCGTCAGTTTGTCACCAGGCTATATAATGAATCGTGATACCTAGAAAGTTGACATTTTGAGGTCGGAGTAGGTAGATCGATTTAAGGTCTTTGAAGTCGAACGTAGAGGATAGTGCTTTATTTTTTGAGGTAATGTAAATATGCCTCTGATTAAATGGCATGTCCATATCATAATATCTTGACGCAAGTATATAAAATCAATCTACCTACTCCTACCTCGACAACAAATACTAAATCGAGATTAACTCGTTGAGTACCGTAATTATAGACACAATTAAAGAACAATAGATTGCGGTCACCGGTGTCCTCGCGGTGTTTGACAGTTTAAGCAACGGTGTATGGGTGACCAAATCAGTTTACCTATTTTTATTTGTATGGATGTTTTTTAATACTCAATAAAACATAGAGCAGGTATGGATTTGAGTATGCTTTCACTTGACGGCATAAACTCTTGTCAAGTTGTTATTGTTTTTCTTTTTTCGTAATGAAATACCTACAATATGGCTTCTTATTGTTTTAGGGTGAAAATAAGACGATAAAACAACAGGAGCAGAGTACCGTCAGCCCACAAAAACATAACATTATAACATGCCAGAAATCACCATCTGAAATTAACAATCATGTTTCCAATGACATAAATTTCGCTGTTGATATTACGCCTGATGTTCTTAACCTTCCTGAACATGACGAATTTAAGATTATTACATGCGAATCGGCTCCTGCTTCAATAATGGCTAGCGAAATGATTTCTTATAACATTAAACCACCCCATTCAGCACCTATGCCCGTAAATGTCAGTCCCATGTCTTTGTGTAGCAGTAAAATTAATTTAAATGAAGATGAGAACATATCAGTATACAACTATAAAGATGTCAGTTCACCAGTCAGAGGGTCAAGTCCCATTTCGGGTGTCGAACCAATGCCACCTTCGACAGATGAAGAACCTTTTTCTGATTCTGGATCGTCATGGATTCCGGACTCAGAAGAAGAAATTAAAATAAAAAAAAAACGTACATCTTTAATGAAAATGAGATTTGAAGGTATAAACTCAATTCCGTCGAGTGATTCTGAAGATGAAACAAGCAAAATTATAACAACTCGTGCTATTATTGAAACTCCTTTTGACCAAGTCTCATTAGTTAACCCCGATAAAAGAATCATGAAACACGATGTCACAATTGCAGAAACAACAGATACAGAAACAGAAACAGAAACAGGCAATAAGGAAAAAAAAAACTACAGATGGAAGAAAAGTAATCAAACAAATTGGAAAAGAAACAAAGAGTTACAGAAGAAACGAAAATGTTTGCCATATAAGAGTAAAACTGGAAAGCTTTGTGCAGCTAAACTACCTAAAAGTCCTAAATGCAGCAATAGTTGCCGTCAAAAATGCACAGAAAAGTTTACACAAAACGAGCGTGAAATAATTTGCAAACACTATTGGTCTATACAAGATTATAAGCTACAAAAAGAGTTTCTGCTTAAGCGCATCATCATTAAACCGGTGCAGACTACAAGAAAATCTGTACCGATCGACAAACAAAGAAGTACTAGCAGACAATATGGTTTTTATAAAAATAAGACTGTATTTGAACAAGTGTGCAAGAATTATTTTATGTCCACTCTTTGCATTTCTACTGGTCCCATTGAAACAGCAGTAAAACACGTGGATGATCATGGTGCATTTACAAAAATAGATAACCGTGGTAGACGAGCGCCTGCAAACAAAACTCCTGAAGAACAGATACAAGACGTAAAAGATCACATTGAAAGTTTTCCTGTAATGGATTCCCATTACTGTAGAAAAAAATCAAACAGGAAATACTTAGAGCCTACCTTGTCAATATCAAAAATGTATGATTTGTATGTGCAGAAAATTAAAAAAAATAATAAAGTGCCAGTTAAATTTAACATTTATAAGAAAGTATTTGGCACACAATACAATTTAGCGTTCTATCATCCCAAGAAGGACCAATGTAGCACGTGTAATAATTACAATAAAGATAAAAGTAATATAAATATCCTTAATGAATATACTCAGCATATAGAGCGAAAAGAGGCGTCTTATAGATCTAAAGAGCTGGATAAGAAGAGGTCGGAAGAAGATGATTCATATATGTGTGTCACCATGGACTTGCAAAGTCTACTGCAGATTCCATCGACTGCAGATAGTCTAATGTATTATTCCAGAAAATTAAATTTATATAATTTATCTATTTATGAGTTTAAACCTCCACAAAACGATGCTCACAGTATGATCTGGACGGAAATAAACGGCAAAAGAGGCAGTGTGGAAATAGCATCTGCTATTTATTTATGGATTAAGAATCTACCCGAGGCTGTCACGCACGTCACCCTTTATTCAGACACATACTCGGGACAAAACCGGAACCAGTACATAGCAGCATTTTTATTGTCCTTAGTACATACACATAGGACAATAAAAGTGTTAGAACAAAAGTATCTTGAAAGTGGTCATAGTTATATGGAGGTAGATTCGATGCACAGCGCAATAGAAAAAGAAAAAAAATACACAGACACGTTTTCTATAATAGATTGGAAGGGAATTATGCAACGGGCAAGATCCAAAAGACAAAATAAAAATGTGAATCCGTATAAAGTAACTGAATTGTCGTATCAAGACATGATTGATGTAAAATCACTTTCTTCACAAATAATTAAAAACAAAACTATAGCGGAGAATGGGGAGAAGGTGTGTTGGCTGAAAATAAAATGTCTAAGATTTCAAAAGGATTTACCTGGTTTTATTAAATACAGATACGATTACGATGGGCCATATAATTTATTAAATGCTCTTTGTAAACCAGGGAGACCGACTAGAAGAACTCAAAACTCTGAAATGCCAACTATAAACACTGAAGATCTTCCCCGGGCATATAAACAATGTCTTCCTATAACCAAACAAAAAAAGAAAGATCTTTTACAGCTTTGTAAGAAAAAAATAATACCTAAAGAGCTTCATGGCTGGTACGAAGGTTTACCATGTTTAAACGAAGACCAGGGTACTCCACCCTGCACTGATTCCTCTGAAGTCGATGATTAAACTTATTTTGACCCCTGCTTTACATTCTAGTGATTTTTTGAAACCTAACAAAACAAACAAAATTATTTGAGTTTTTAGAGATTAAATTGTTAAATTTACGTGATTTTAAATTACGTACATACGCCGTGTTTTATTTAATGTGTATGAAGGTAGTTTTTATTTTAAGTTGCTATACCTTTGTTTATGTCTCTTACAATTAACTTTCAGTATTGATTAAGTACAGACATTTCAATTGTTTTGAATTTTAAATGTTCTATTTTACTTAACTGTAGGATCAATAGTTTTAAGTAATTGATATTAGAAGTTTGTTGATTTTTGTACTCAATGTACCTGATGAGCCATATTATTTTTTGAGTTTTATTTTGGTTGTGTTTCCTAAATTACCAATGAAGAATTATTTTTATTTGAATTGAGTTGTTTTAAAGTTTTATAATGATTGCTATACCTTTGATTTGTTGTTACTTTTTAATAAAGTATACTTTATGTCAAAATACAGCTTATTATTTTTAATGGTATTAATAACAGTTAGACAGTATAAAAGTAATAAACGTTCAACTTTGACATTTATCATATTTCAAGTTTGATAAATTTAATAACTGCATTTATTTCACCTTCTTTTACTCTACCAGATGGATCTAGGTTGTAGAAAAACTAAATAAATAGCCGAAATAAATAACTAATTGCAGTTACGTTACAAAAAGTAGTTGTGGCAAAATTAAACAACTTGGTTTTATATATATTATTTAGTTATTGTTGAAGATAGAGTCCAGTTTGTTTAAGCATAATGTTAAAGATAATCAGGTCCCAAATATAAAATTACCGACGGTAAAATTGTCTACATTTTTTAAACAAATGCTCATTAATTGAAAAAAAAACACTAAATCGCGTTTATCTCAAAACTAGAAAATCGGAGTTATTTAGTTTTCCAACTACGGGGACGATATTATCTCTTAGAGATCTAGACATTAACAATTGAGCTGGTGACGACAGGTTATTCTTTGGTGTGTTTCTATAATGTAATAATGCTATGTATGGATCTGATCCATTTTCTTACATTTCTTTAACATATTCTTTATAATTTTTACTGAGCTTTCTGCTTGACCATTTGACTGTGGATGATATGGGCTAGTAACTACATGTTCTATGTCCCATTCAATTAAAAAATTCTTAAATTCAACAGATTGAAATTGTGGACCACCATCAGACACAAAAGACAATGGAATACCATGACGTGCAAAAATTGACTTTAAACTGTCAAACACCAAGCGGTCACCGGTGACCACAACCTACTGTTCTATAATTGTGTCTACAAAACCGGTGCTCGACGAGTTAAATGTGTTATAACATTTGTTATTAATTGTATCGTAATAATGCATCCTAAGTATTTGTCATAAACAACTCTACGGTTTGGCTCTTTGGTTCAACAGTTTTGTTTATGGTTTTATAAGAAATAAATTTAGTCTATGGTAAATATCCGTTGTATCATTTAATAGGTTATGGGCCCAGACCTAATTTTTATTAAATAGTCTAGTAATTTCGCAGTGAAATGGCAGGAAACTATTTAATAAACGTCCCTAAACTCAGGGGGCGTGAAAATTATGATGAGTGGGCTTTCGCGGCAGAAATTTTTTTGATATTGGAGGGTGTCGACATCAACCATCGAACACAGGAAGACGACGCCGTTGTTATTCAAAAAGCAAAAGCTAAGCTCGATCGTCATTACCACCCCACATTGACCCTACGGTCGAGTTGCCTAAATTGGACCGGCTCGTAAATTGTACCACTTCAAAATCTACCAAACCGTAATGTTTAGTTTTGAGCTGGCAACACTAATAGGCAGTGCTACCAACATGACGCAATCGCTGTCATTTTGGATTCAATGAGACAACACAGTGAAGTGCAGTAAACAAAAAATATTATTTCAGCGTTCTGATGTTATTTTATTAATGTTTGCTTAAGGATTTCTTGTAGCAACGGTAAGTACACCACCGCTGATCATTACGTTTTTAGAAAGTAAGCATATTAATGTACTTTTTGACAATTATGTTTTACTCATATCATTTCAAGGTTAGGGTGCCGGCTCGATTAAAAATAAAACTTTAATGATGCCTAATTTGTACCGGTAGGATAACCCTAAAATGTACCGGTACAATTTAGGTGTATGGTGATTCTTAAGTAGTATTTTTATTTAGTATTTAAATATTTTTAGATGTCTGGAGAGGATAAAAAGTATTACAAATGGACGCAAGATAATTTGGAAAAAGCCTTAGATTGTTTGAAAAAGAAATGCATGGGAATTAATCAGTGTTCACGAATGTTCAATATACCTAAGCCCACTTTAAAGAGACATTTGTTAAGTTCGAACAAATATGCGAATGAAAACACCGTTTCTAAGGGCAGACCAACTGTTTTTAGCAATGACGTTGAACAAGAGCTTACGTCGCATTTGTTAAACATGGAAAAACATATGTTTGGACTCACAATAAATGATGTTCGAAAGCTGGCTTACGACATTGTGGAAAAAAATAGCATTCCAAACACTTTTTCAGAAACGACTAAAAAAGCTGGGAAAAAATGGTTTTACTCATTTCTTAAAAGACATCCGGAACTTAGTGTTCGCCAACCCGAAGCAACATCTTTGAATAGAGCTAAAGGATTCAACCGCGAAAACGTCACAGAATTCTACAACCTTTTGGAGCAAATAATAGATAAGGAGCAGTTGACTCCTGAAAAAACTTATAACGTAGACGAGTCGGGATTTTCAACCGTACAAAAGAAACCCCAAAAAATTGTAGGTGAAAAGGGTAAAAGTAGAATAGCTGCCATAAGCAGTGGCGAAAGAGGGGTAAATACGACAGTTGTGTGCTGCGCCAGTGCATCCGGACATTTTGTGCCCCCTATGATCATATTCAAAAGAGTCAGATACTCACCATTGTTGGCCCAAGGGAAACCACCGGGAAGTATTGTTGTAAACTCAGAGAGTGGCTATATCAATAGCGAATTATTTGTCCAATGGCTTCAACATTTTATTAGTGTTGTAAAACCAACAACCCAAGACAAAGTTTTACTGCTGCTTGATGGGCACACGACACATTCCAAAAACTTGGAAGCTGTTTTAATGGCTAGAGATAATGGAATTATCTTGCTCCAGCTACCAGGCCACACTACGCATAGGCTTCAGCCTTTAGACGTTTCTTTTTTTAAACCATTTAATGGATACTATACTGAAGCCATAGAAAAATGGCTTCTAGTCAATCCTGGCCAAAGTGTGACTCAGTACCAAATATGCGCACTGCTAAATGAAAGCTATGGACGAGCTGCTTCTGTTGCAAATGCTCAGAGTGGATTTAGAGTAACAGGTATTTGGCCAACAGACCGCAACGTTTTCAAAAAGCATGATTTTCTTGCTGCTGAACTAATGAGTACAAGTGCCACTCTAAGCCACTCTAATGATATCGAAAACCCCGGGTGCTCTACAGGAAATGTTGTTACAGACCAACCCAGCACTAAAGAAACTCCCAAACCCAATCCAACCAAAGAAACAACTAAGTCAAATGTGAGTGAGGAGAATTGTGCAGCTACCAGGAACAATGAAGCAGTGGCGTGCAGTCCATATAGGCAAAAAGGCTTTGCCTACCTATAAATATCGTGAATATATAACATACATAAAATGTACAAACGTGTTTATTAAAATTCAATAATATAATAAAAGTTTGTAAAAAAACGGCTAACATAAATACGCGCCTTTGTAAAGCAATGAATGCGCCTCGCAAGCACCACGCATGCGCCACTATTCCTTAAATCTTGGTTGCTAGTTGTGACGTCACAAAAGAAATGTACCAATAGTATGCACCGCGCATGCGTGAAGTTCACGATCATAGTCACAGTACAGAATAACCATTCATAATTATATTACACGATTCCTGTTGCTTGACAAAATGTTGGCAACTAAAAAATTAGAGGACCGTTCGTTCATCACTTGGAAAACGATCATATTTTATTAAGAATTCTAAAACAATAAAACAGCAACAAGTTATTGTATTTTTAAAAACAATTAAATTATAAAAGGTTTTAAATTGATAAAATCTGTGTATCGTAAAGTACTGATGAATGGAGTACACCAGCGCCATCTATTGAATTTTTTGTTGAAACTTCTGAACTCGTTCGATATAATGCGAATGTATTTTTATAAATGCGTATTTAACAAATATTTTTCTTTATAAATGCGTATTTAACAAATATTTTTCAAGTGTTTTAATTAAAGCTTAACATTTTTACGCGTTGTCGGATTATAGAAATTTTAAACGAGGAGTTGACTTTATTATTATAAAAGTTAAAAGGAAGTAATTGAAACGTCAAGATGGCGCCATTTACGTTTCAAATTATATGAATGAATGTTTTTTAGTATGAAATATTGGTTTAAGACGATGATGCAATTTCATTTGACTTACTAAATTAACCTTTGTTTTTTTGAAATTAAACGCTGCATTACCTTAATTTTTAAGCTACATTTTTTTTATAATAAACAGTAAACACTCAATTGGCTATTGGTAATGACTTCAATTCATTTCCAATGTTTTCGGCCATATTGTTTTCATGTGATGTGCGATCGCTTTGTTTATGTTTTCGTTTAAATTATTAGGAATTAGTTTTAAACATAAAGTTGCATAAATGTGTAGTAGTAGTTAAATATATGTGTAGGTTTTTCAAATAGTGTATTTGTTTATCAGTTTCTAGTACAAGTACCTATATTATTCGATTGTGAAGTGTGTGTGAATAATAGGTAATTTTATGTGTTTGTTGAAAGTAAAAACAGTAAGATTTCGCAATGTCCTTTATCGGACTAGATTCAGGTAATGACCATAGGCAGAGGTGTACTCGAGTTACGAGAATTGACCCAAGTAAAAGGTAGGTAATGTAAATATGTACTATAATGGATCTTTTATTTGATTTTCTTGTTTATTGTTTGATAATTCTTAAAAATATCAACTTAGACTTCGGGTTGTACTGATTCACATATTAATTTATTATTAATATTTAT